GAGAAATTATCTTCATCTCGAACAATAAATAATCGAAGATTTTTTCCCCGATCTTATTTTTGCCTTTCAGTCTCATTCAAATTCGTCTCTCTGTGACTTCCGCATGGGGAGCTACGCTTTTAGGCAATGCCTAAATATATATATTATTTCATTCAGCATTAAAATAAATTAAGCTTATCCATAGAAATATTAAAAACTTTGAGAGAAAGTCTTTGATTTGTCGATTCGTCGAAAAAAACGTCTCATGCCATAGAAAGTAAAAATATGCGATTGTTTGCTAAAAAAAATACACCAGAATTCTTGAAAAATACTTCTTGATTTATCTTTGACTACATTTTCAGTTTATCTACTGTTGGGCTATAATTTCTCCCAAAGCGATATTTTCTGTGAAATTTCCGAGTCAAGCGGGAAATCAAGCGAGGCCCCTGTGTTGTGTACACGGACTTACGAACGTGCGTACGTAGGTATGTACGTGTGTACGCACAGACGGAAGTGACGTCAGCCAAGCCATGAAAAATCAACTCGATGGTTTACCTTTTTTTTTTTTTTTTTTGAGTATGGTGCTCCGCTGAAGGAAAACCCACAGGTAATACATTTATCAAGTTAAATTCACAGGATGTCAAGGAGGCTGAAGGCCCTTGACAATCAGAAGCGAGATAGTGAGTAAAATGTTGTGTTTGTAAATATTCATACCTGGTATTCTTTAGTTTCCAGGATATCAATGAGTGTCTCATGCCAATAATGTCCTTGTTCTCCGCCTTTAAGCCAAAGGAGACGAAGTGAACCATTGTTGTTGGCGTAAATGGCAAGGTGCCCTATGTCAGAACCATGCATGTGATACCAAAGTGTCATGCATTGAGGACCTCGCATTCGGGGGCTTATAAGCCGAGCTACTTGGCCTTTGTAGCGTGGGGATGATGTCTCGATGTATAAATATACCCCATATCCTTAAACACGCAAAAAAAAGCATGTTAAAAAAAAAACAGATTACAATTTACGAGAATGAATGTTACAACTTTTCGGATTTGGGTGTGATATGACTTGGTGCAAAAATAATATATATGACTTTAAATTTATTTTTTCTATACAAAATGTGAGGGAAAGGTCGACCAAGAACATATATTACAATTTTTTGTTTTGACATACCGGTAGTGTGATCCCTGTTTGGTCCAGTAATGAAGCTTGCTGTTCGCCCAGAATAACGGGTCCAGTTGAAATCGTCTTCGCCCTTTGCGTTTGTCCAATTACACATATTTCTCTCAAAATCACAATCACCTACATAAGTCAATAAAAATTTCAATGGATAACAACAATACTAGTTTTAAGCAAAAACGTTTCTCTCTACTTTGTAAAAACATAAAACTTCAATTTGTGAATTATATAGCTATTTTATATTCAAGTGAAAGAACATGACTATAGAGTACAAACAGTATAAGTGTGTAACATAAATACCACTAAATACTTATTAACTATGCTAATCCTATTTTTTGTGCTGTGCCTATGGGCACAGTACATTTGTTTTTGTTGAGTTAGGTATGATCGGAATTTAGTGTTACGAATGCCATTGGTGGTCCTCGTCATGATTGACATTGGTGAAACACGAGGTGAAAATGCATGTTGAGATCTGTAAGATCGGGACACGGAGGAGGTGAAAGAGGTTGAACATATGTGGTTTTCGTGGTAAGAGTGCCTTAATCCAACTAACTTTAAACTTAATTTGGTAGTTCTAAGCAGATAATTAGAAACTGGAGCTAAATTAGAAACTTTAAGTGCGATTTTTGTTTTTTGATACAACTCGAATTAGTTACGTAAACAAAAGATTGTAAATGGACAGGCCAGGAAYTTCTACTGCGTCATTGATGTAAAATAGTACTCGCACGAGTTTTATATTATTTTATTAGCAAGAAAAATGATAATTGATTTGATTAGCAAAACATATTTCAACTTGGGAAAGACTGCAAAGAAGAGAAGACTATGAATGAATGAAGGAAAGAACGCGGAACGATCGAACGAACGAAATGACGGACGGACGGAAGAAATCATCGATCGATAAGTTTTGTTTTAAAGCTTACAATGTGTACAGTTGTTTGTTGTTGTCGAGGAGTCCAGCAGGAAGTGACTTCAGTTGATTGTTGCTCAAGGATCTAAAGCAGAGAATGGTAAAAATGACAACGAGTACAACGACAACGACAAAGAGCCAAAAAAAAAAAAAAAACTCACAAATATTGAAGCTGTGTATTGTTATCAAAGATACCAACAGGAAGTGACGTCAATTTGTTAT